GTGTGCGGGAGCCGGGCTGTGGCTGTGACCGCCGAGCCGCCAGCTCCCGGCTTATCTCCAGATCGGGTTGTAAACACGCCGTGCTTATCTTCAGCTCTGAGAGGAATCCGTGTCCAGCGGGCATCCGGGAAGGCACCGCAGGAGGGGCTGGCCGGCCTGTGCTGCCGGCCCCGGGGCCCTGCCCGCAGCAAGCTGCCCGGAGAGGGGGCAGAAGCCGAGCAGCAGGCCGGAAAGCAGCTCCACCCGCCGGCGTGCGCCAGAGCGCCACCCGCGGCCTGCAGAGCCCTCCCGCCCCGGGCCCCAGGGGCCGCCCCAGGAGCCTCCCGGTTGGCCGCCTCCAGGTCGCGCCCAGAGGGTCCCGGGAAGGGGCTGCGCGCTGGCCCTGGGGGCGGGTGCTGGCCCAGCCCCTCGGAGGGGAAACCCGTTCTGTCCCCGCAGGGAACCAGGGGCTGGAGTCAGACTGTCCGGGCCAGGCGGCGGGCGCAGAGGGCGGTGGAGGAGGGGAAGGGAGAGAAGCCGGCAAGTAACTTCTCACACATCACCCAAGTCAACAAACCTCCGGGTCTCCGCGGGCATCGGGGCTCCCGCAGCGCCATGGGGGGCCCGCGAGGGGTCCCACCCCGGGGAGGGCCGCTGCTCACCGCCTTCCCGGCCACGCCGCGGGGCCGCAGGCCTCCTGGGGGCGTGTCCGAGCCGCGGCCGCCCCGGCCGAGCTCCTGCCCCGGGGCAGGCCCGAGCCCCAGCCCAGCCCGGCACCTCGTCGCCCATCCCCCTGGCGCCGGCAACGCCCGCGCCCGGAGCGCACAGTGCGGGGGACAGGGCGGTCCGCAGAGGGCGGGCGGGGCCGAGCCCGAAGCCCACTCGCCTGGCCTGCGGGGCTGGGCCGCCCCCCGCGCGCCCGCACCCCGACCTCTGGGGCCGCCCCCAGCGGGAGCCGGCGCTGCTCCCCGGCCCGGCCCGCGAGCGGCCGCTGAGCCCAGCGAGGCTCCTGCCCTCCGGGTGGGCGTCCCGCCCTCCCCGCTCCTGCCTCCCCGCGCGGCCCCCGCGCCGCACCGGCCCGCGGCGGGAAAGTTGGCGGAGCCGGCGCGGGGAGCGCCCGGGGCGGGTGGGCGCAGCGCGCGGCTCGCCCCCGTCGCGGCGCGGGCTCGGCGGACAGCCCCGGGGACGCCGCGCGCGCCGCTCGCCAGGTGCTGCGCCGGGAAATGTCTCCATTAGTTGTCGCCCGCCCCCCGCCGGAGCGCGCGCGCCCAGCGGCCGCGCAGCACCCTCGCGGGCGGCCGGCACTGGCCCGGCGCCGCCGCAGGTAGGCGAGGCCGCGCCGCCCCCGGCCGAGACCCCTCCCCGCCGGGAGGCGGAGGCTCCGCGCGGCCGCCGAGGGGCGCGGGCGGCGGCGACGGCGCGAGTCCCGGTGCGTCCCGGCCCGGGCTGCGCGCGGCTCCCCGCGGCCCCGGCGCCCCGCGACGCGGCCCGCACGTCCCGGCGCAGGTAGGGGGCGGCTCGGCCGCGCAAACTTCGCGAGGACGCTCCCGCGCGGAGCCCGCGAAGTTTGCCGCCCGCCCGCGGGGTCCCCGAGGCCGCCGCGTCCGCGCAGGGGGGGGCCGGCCGGCGGCGGCGCGGGGCGCGCGAGGGCCCACGCGGGGTGGCGGGCCGCGCCGGGCCCCTGACCGCGCCCGCCGGCCGGGCGGTGCCCCGCGCGCGGAGGGGGCGCGGGCAAGGCGGGGGCGAGGGGGGCGCGGGCGCGCGGGCGGGCGGCTCCGAGCGGCGCGCGGGCGGGCGGCTCCTCCTGCGGCCGCGCGGCCTGGGCCCGAGACCCCGGCGCGGCGGAGCGGTGACCCGCCAACCTTGGGGCTGGCGCGCGGTGCCACGGGCCTCTGGAACGCCAGGGGCACAGGCGCCCAGGGCGCCGGCGTCTCCGCGAGCGGGAGGAAGGCCTGGCCTGCCCCGCGCGGGCGCCCGAGGTCAACCGCCCCCGCGGGAGGGAGGCGCCCCAGCCCCTCCAGAGGCGGCGCGCGCAGGGGCAGGGTGGACCCGGGAGCGGGCCGGAGCTGGGACTCAGCGGGTCGCGCCGGAGCGGCGGGCGGCAGCCGCGGGTAGGTAGGCCAGGCCCCTCCGGAGCCGACAGCACCTTCGGGGACGCGGCCCCCCACGGTGGGGCTCCCGCGCAGGCCCCCTGGCCGGGCCCTTCCAGCCCAGCAGGCCGCGGGCTCCTGGCAAGCCGGGCTGCGGTGCACGGACTGAGGCCCGGGGCGCCTGCCTCTGAAGGGACTAGCGCGGCCTCCTGGAAGGGCTCGCGGCTAGTGGCTGCTGGGGGTTGTGTGCGCCACAAAGAAGGTCCAGAAAGTGCCCAGGATTGTGCAGCGGGGCGGCCAGGGCGCCGGGAGCAGCGGGATGTGGGGCATGCGCTGGGCTGGAGGCAGGCCAGGCTGACCGCACCCACCAGGCCCCCCGAGCCTGGGAGAGTGCCCCCCAAGTCCGAAGGCTCCTCTGGTGCCCCTGAGCTTCCCAGAGAGCGGGCAGACAGACCCCCTGCCTGGGGGCAGGCACAGAGGGGGAGTGAGCAGGCCGGGGAGGGGAGTGTCTGAGCAGGATTCAGCCTCTGGGAGCGGTTGGGTAAACCCCCAGGTCACTGGGGACGTGCAGCAGCCCCTCCTGTGAGAACTGGGGGGCAGACCAGAGCCCAGCGCGGGTCAGAGGAGCCCGTAACGCCTCCCCAGGGCCCAGGAGGCCCTGCCAGGAGCTGCGCCACCGGGTTCTGGGGCTGCGGGTCCACTCAGGAGGAAGGCGAGGGTTGGGGGGCAGTGGCTCAGCGCCACCCCCAGTCCCGGGGGAAATGCTTCCGCAGGCTGGGGCGCCTCTGCAGAGAGGGCGCTCCCCCAGACCCTGGCCTCTGACCGCGTGGGGATTCTCCTCCCGGGCTGGCCACGGAGCCCGCCAGGGCCAGGGAGGGGAGAGCGCAGGGGGGGCTGGGGTCCTCTGGGTCCCCACTCCCAGCGCCGCGCCCTGCCCGGCCCTCCCCGCGCCCAGCTCGCCGGGAAGGGAGTTGTTTGTCAACAATAAATACTGGGAGGGCAGCGGGTCGGGGCCTCGCAGAGGGAACCGAGGCGCGGGGCGCAGGCTGCGCGGGGGAGGGGCGCGCGGCGGCCGCTGCGAGATTCATTTCTGCGAGGCCCGTGGCTACTTTCTGATTGTTCGCGGGAAGGTGATATTAGCGATTCAGGTGCGGGGGAGAGACGCGGCCACCGCGGGATCGATGCCGGATTCAGAAGCGATGGCGCGCGCCGCGTGGCCGCGCCCCCCGCGCCCTCCCGCCGGCCGGGCCGAACCCGCCGGGCAGCGCCGTCCAGCCCCGCGCGCCCCTCGCGGCGGCCGGCGGGGGCGGCTGCGGCCCGCGCGCTCGAGAAGCGGCGTTTTCATCTGTAAATTAAAGCAATTACGCGGCGGATATTATAGGATGCGCCCGCGGTCCCCAGGTAGTCATCCATCACCTTCCACCGAGCTGTCAGCGCGCGGATTCCGCTCCGGGAGGCAGGTCCGCAGCTGGGCGCGGGCGAGGACGTCATCATTAATTAGAGGGTGACCCGGGGCGATGCGCAGGTCTGAACCGGGAATCTCCCGAACAAGCCCGCGCAGCGCCGCCGACTCCGGCTCCCGCGGCCCCGAGGCCGGGCGGCAGCGGCGGGAGCCGAGCCCGGGGGCACCGGCGCGCGGGCGCCCGGCGAGTTCGGGGGCGGCCCGGGCGCCCCTCGCCGGCCGCGGCCCGGATCCCAGCGGAGCGCGGGGCGCGGCCGCCGGGGAGATCCGGGCGGGCGCTCGGCTCCTCCTCGGGCCGCCCCGGGGCCCCGCGCGCAGCCGGCCCGGGAGGACCACGGGGCCCCGGCCCGCGCCCCCCGCCCGGCCCCGGGGTCGCCCGAGCCGAGAGCGCGGCGGGAGGGCAGGAGCCGCGGCGGGAATCCCGCTCCCGGGCGCGGGGGTCCGGCGGCCCGGCTCGGCCGCGAGGGGAGGCGCCGCGCGAGGCGGGGGGCGCGGCCCGCGGGACCCGCGGGGCGAGCGGGGCGCGGGGGCGGCCCGCGGGGGCCCAGCGCCGCCCCGGGGCCGCGCGCCTGGACCGGCTGGCACAGCCCCCCGCGCCCCGCCCGCCCCGCCCGCGCCCCGCTCCTCCTCGCGCCGGCGGCGGCCGCGGGGCGGGGGACAGGGGGACAGTGGGCGGCCCCGCCGCGCCCGGCCGGCCATGGCGAGCCCGGGGTCCGTGGGGGCCGCGCGCCCCTTCAAGTGACTCATTTGTAATTGAGACGAATGGCGGCGGCGGCGGGCGGAGCAGCTGCTCATTAATTAATTTCTAATTAAAAGCGCCGCCCGGCCGGGGCCAGCGGAGACGCGTCCGCGGAGGCCTCGCCTCGCGCCGGCCGGGGCCGGAGCCGGGGGTCGGGGGGTCGGGGGGCCGGGGGGCGGGAGTCCCGAGGGGCCGGGGGTTGGGGGGGCGGGAGGGGGCGGGGGGACGGAGTCCCGAGGGGCTGGGGGTCGGCGGGGGGGGGCCGGGGGTCGGGAGTCCCGAGGGGCCGGGGGTTGGGGGGGGGCCGGGGGTCCCCAGGGGCCGGGGGGGGGCCGGCAGCCGAGGAGCCCGGGGTGGGGGGGGTCGGGAGGGCCGGGGGGGCCCAGGGGCCGGGGGGCCGGCAGCCGAGGGGGTGGGGGGGTCGGGGGCCGCGGGCTGACGTCAGAGGCCCCCCGCAGGGGAGGCCGCGCGCGTCCGACCTGCCGGCTTCGCGCGACTCTTTTTTTCCCCTTTTTGCAAAATATGCGTTTGCGTCGCGGCGGCGAGGCCGGCGGGTCCCGGGGCCCCGCGAGGCGCGGGGATCGCGGCTCCGAGACGCCCGCGCTGCTCCGCGTCCCCCGCCGGGAAGTGGGCGGGGCGCGGCGCGGTGACCCCGGCTTCTGCTTCGCCCCCAGCGCCTAGGACGCGCGCCCCGGCCCCCGCGCGCAGGACCCCGCCGGCCCCACCCGCCATGTCCTACCCGCAGTTCGGGTACCCCTACTCCTCGGCACCCCAGGTAAGGGGCCGGGCCCGGGGAGGCCCCGCCGGCTGGGCTGCGCGCGCCCCGGGAGCCGGCTGGGCAGGGCGGGGGCGGCGGGGGCTGAGCCGGGCGGGGGCGCCTATTCCCGCCCGGCTTCGCCCCCGCCGCGGGCTCCGAGGCCGCCCGGGCCCCCAGGCCGGCCGGCGCGCCCACACCCCGGGGCTCCCGGCCTCGGAGCCCCCACCGCGGAGGCGCGGCCGCCCCAGGCCCGGACGGCGACGCCCCAGCGGCCGCGGGAGGGCCGGGAAGCGGCGGGGCGCGCGGGCAGCCCCCGGGAATCCAGAGCGGCCGGCGCGGGGAGGGAGGCCCGCCCGCGTGCGCCCGCCTCCCCCGCGCCTCGCCCCGCAGTTCCTGATGGCCGGCAGCCCCCTGGGCACGTGCTGCGAGTCCGGCGGCCGCGCGCTGGCCGAGGCGGGGCCCGCCGCGCCGGCCCAGGCGCCCGTGTACTGCCCGGTGTACGAGGGCCGGCTGCTGGCCACGGCGCGCCCCGAGCTCGGGCCCGCGGCGCTCGGCGTGTACGGGGCCCCCTACGGCGGCGCGCAGGGCTACGGCAACTACGTGACCTACGGCTCCGAGGCGTCCGCCTTCTACTCGCTGGTGAGGGGCGCCCCCGCCCCCCCCCCCCCCCCCGCCGCTGCCCTGCGGCTGGACACGCGCCGCCGGGCGGGGAGGGAGGGCGACCCCGCGGGGGCACCTGGGGGCTCTGGGGCGCCGTCCCCTCCCTCCTGCCCGCGCCCGCGCTGCCCCTCCCAGCCCCGCTTTCCCCGCCCGCCTCCCCCCTCCCCCCACCCCCCACCCCCCACAGCCCCCCCTCGCTCCAGGCCCGGGACCCCGCTGCTGGCTGCGGGCCAGGGGGTGGGGGCTGCCCGAGCGGGGAGCCCGCGGGGCGGGGGCGCAGCCGAGTCCGCGCCGCAGGCCCCTGTGCTCCTGCAGAACAGCTTCGACGCCAAGGACGCGGCGGGGTCCGCCCACGCCGGCCTCGCGCCCGCAGCCGCCTACTACCCCTACGAGCCCGCGCTGGGCCAGTACCCCTACGACAGGTGAGGGTCCCCCGGCCGCCCGCCCCCCCAGACCTCCGCTCCCGGCAGCCCTCACCCCTCTGACCTTCCGCAGCGTCGCTAGGGGCAGCGGGTCTCCCTGGGGGCCTCCAGAGCGCCGCCCCCCCCCAGCAGGACGGGCCTGTCCTGCCGAGCCTCCCTCCCCGCAGGATGGGACACGAGTGGGGAGTCCCCGCCCTGGCAGGCAGCAACCCCATCCTCGCAGGGGACAGGCACACACGTAACCCCAGAACTCCTCTGTGGTCCCCTGGGCACTCCCTCCCCAGGACGCCGACGGCGGCTTCTCCCCAGGGAGTTACCTGGCCGGGCTGCTTCTAGGGGTGTGTGTTCCCAGCCGAGAGAGCAGGGCAGTGCCCCGCGGGGAGCTGGGGGCCCGCGGCCTGTGCAGGCTGAGAGACCCGCGGCCTTGCTCCTGCTCCCGCCCTCCCCGGCGGCCGTCCAGGCCCTGCTCCTTTGACCCCACAGAAGCTGGGTCTTGGTCCTCGGCCACGGAGGCAGCGGTGCTGGGCTGGCACGGGGTCCAACCCCGGAGTGGCCAGCGTAGAGCAGCCCGCCTACCCCCACCGGGAAGCCGGGCTGTCCTGGCCGGGCAGCGCCCCGGGAGCCGGCCCACCCCACTGCCCAGCCTGTCTCCAGGTACGGGACCATGGACAGCGGCACGCGGCGCAAGAACGCCACGCGGGAGACCACCAGCACGCTCAAGGCCTGGCTGCAGGAGCACCGCAAGAACCCCTACCCCACCAAGGGCGAGAAGATCATGCTGGCCATCATCACCAAGATGACCCTCACGCAGGTGTCCACCTGGTTCGCCAACGCGCGCCGGCGCCTCAAGAAGGAGAACAAGATGACGTGGCCGCCCCGGAACAAGTGTGCGGATGAGAAGCGGCCCTTCGGGGAGGGCGAGGAGGACGGGCCCGAGGAGGAGGCCCCAGGGGAGCCCCTCAAGAGCACCAAGAATGAAGGTGGGTTGGGGCCGCCGGCCACAGGGGGCTGTGCCCCCCACCACACCCCCATGTGCCCTCCCGCCCACTCTGCGCCTCCAGAGAATTGCTCTGGTTTTCCTGAGGCAGAGGCTGGGGCCTGGGCTGCCCGCGCTGGAGCCCGAAGTCCAGCCACGCCTCACGGAAACCCTCCCCCACTGGGCCTCGCCGCTGCTGCCAGGGGCCTAGAGCCTCTGGGGAGGGGGGGGCTGGGGCGCTTCTCCCAGTTCTGGAGTGGGGCTCCTACCTGCCAGCTCCCTGCCCAGGCCAGGCCCTGGGCTCTGATGACCCTGAGGTGCTCCTGACCCTGTGCACACTCCCGCCCGCAGAGTCGCCCGGCAAGGAGAGAGAGCTGGCGCTCAGCGACCTGGAGGACTTTGACCCCCTGGAGACCGAGCCCCCAGTGTGCGAGCTGAAGCCCCCCTTCCAGCCTCTGCACGGCAGCCTGGAGCGTGTCCCCCTCGGACCTGACGGCCCCAGTGTCCCCGGCAAGGAAGCCTCCGGTGCCCTCCACACGCCCCTGGCTGCTGCGGGCGGGGCCGCCCTGGGCCCAGACCTGGAGCGGGCCCGGAGCTGCCTGCAGGGCGCGGCTGCAGGGCCGGAGCAGCAGCCTGGCGCAGGAGCAGGCCCGCAGGCATGTGAGGCCAAGCTGGGCTTCGTGCCCGCGGGGGCCGCGGGGAGCCTGGAGGCCAAGCCCCGCATCTGGTCGCTGGCGCACACGGCCACCGCCGCGGCCTCCGCCCTGAGCCAGACTGAGTTTCCGTCCTGTATGCTCAGGCGCCAGGGCCCCTGCACGCCCGCGGCGGCCTCGGCCTCTTCCTTGGCGCCCTCCCCGCCCGCCGCCCCCGCCTCCACCAGCGCCCCGGACCGGCACCAGGACTCCCCGGTCACCAGCCTCAGAAACTGGGTGGACGGCGTCTTCCACGACCCCGTCCTCAGGCACAGCACTTTGAGCCAGGCCTGGGCCACCGCCAAGGGCAACCTCCTGGACCCAGGGCCGCTGGGACGCTCGCTGGGGGCCGGAACCAACGTCCTGCCCACGCCCCTGGCCCGCGCCTTCCCGCCAGCAGCGCCCCGAGATGGCCCCGCCCCTGGCCTCGCCAAGGAGCTGCTGGCCCTGCCCAAGGCCGGGGGCAAACCCTTCTGTGCTTAAGTCAGGAGGCCCCTGAGCAGCCGGGACGGTGCGCAGCCCACCCTCGAAGAAGCTGTCCCCGCTGAGTCTCGGCGGGAAGGCAGGACCCTGGCAAAGGGGTGCCCCGCCCAGCCCCCCGAGGGGGCATCAGCTGGTGTCCCGGGCTGCGGCCCCCATGGCTGCTGCCGGGTTCAAGGACCCCGCTGGACGCCAGTCAGCCTGGCCCTCTCGCCTCTGACCAGGCCAGAGGCCGCAGAAGAGCGGCCTCCGGAGCATAAAGTTTACGCCCAAAGGTTTACAAGCAGAGGACGCCTGCGAGGGCTTGTTCCGCCCCTGCCCCGCGGCCGCCGCCTCTGCCCCCGCCCCACGGACCTTGGATTCCACCTCAGCACGTCACTCACCCACACCCCCACGGCCGCGCGGCCGCGCACTCTTGACTCCATAAAGTTGTGGGTTTTTTAATTGTATGTTCGCACTGGTAACTGCCTGCTCCGAGGCCGTGTAATAAACCGCGGATGGCGTTTGCATTGCAGAACGGACAGCGGGTCTGGGGCTCCAGCTCTGTAGGGGAGCAAACCCCGGGGGCCAGCGCTGAGCCAGCATCCCCCTGAATCTGGGGTGCGCGAAGGCAGAGCCAAGCCCTTGGCAGTGAACCGCTGGGCTCTGAGCTCTGGACCTGGCGCCTGAGCCCCGTCCCGCCCTCCCAGCGCGGGCTCCGGAGTTTGGAGGGACAGGGCTTTTCCGAGCTCCCCAGGACTGCCAGCCGCGACCCCGCTGCACCCGCCTGGGGCCGGGCGCGGCCTCTGAGGAGGGGCCGCCTTCCCCCGCCCGCCTGGCCGCCTGGCCGCGGTGGCCGCCCTGCTGCGGAGTTGGCCGAGGAAGAGGCCGGGTGAGCCCGCGGGGGCGGGGGCGGGGGCGCAGCTCTGCCCTGTGGGTCACGCCAAGGGGCCCCTGAGGCGCAAACCCGCTGCCCCAACCCCAGTCCCGCGGCAGAGAGGCCTGAGGCCGGGTCGCTGGTCAGAGGAAAATCGCCGGGTCCCGCCGACCGCCCTAGCGGAGTCCCCGGCGCACCAGCCCCTGGCCCGGGGAGGGCTCCAGGAGCGGCCGTGCGCCCCCCACCCGGCTTGTCCGCGGCAGGGACGTCCTCGCGGGGTGGGCCCGGGCGTCCTGAGCAGGGACGGGGAAGCGCACGGGGAGCGCAGGGGGAGCGCACGGGGAGCGCACGGGGAGAGCACGGGGAGCGCAGGGGGAGCGCACGGGGAGCGCACGGGGAGCGCAGCTGGCCCCGTCGGGCAGGCGGCCGAGGGGGGGCGCCGCGGGGGCCTGGGGAGATGGGTGGGGGGCGCCGACGGCCGTCGTGGGACCCGCGGGGCCCGGATCCCCTCCGCGCAGGGCGGGTGGGCGGCCGGGCGCCGTGCGGGCGCGGGGCGGGGGCGCGGGGCGGCCCGAGGCGCGACCCCTCGGGCTGGACGGGGCGCCCGGCGGTAATTGGATGCGCGCGCTGTCAGGGCCGGGCGGCGGGGCTGTGGCGGACGCGCTGACGGGCCTGTCAACGGCTGCGCGCGGCCCCCGGCGTGCGGCGAGCATCAGCCAAGATAATTTGAAGTGAAATTTTCATTTTGACAGTAAACCCCTCAATTTCTAAAGGCTCGGCGCGCAGCGCTCGCTGGCAGGGGGAGGCTTTGCGGAAAGCCCACGTCTTAGACTGAAAAGGGCAAAAGAACTCGAATTAGTTGTAATAGATAAAAGGGCAAAAATAAAGAGTCGAGGGCACCTGACAGTAACAGCGGGAGTGGCGTCTCGGGGAGCCGCGCGGCCGCGGCCGGGGGGCGCCAGGAATTTTAATGCGGCCCAGGCGGCCGCGCGCCCCGCCCGCAGACAAAGGCGCGGCGGGGCTGGGCCTCCCGGGAGCCGGGCGGGGCGGTCGCGCATCCCGGGGCTCCCCGGGCGCCCCAGCCTGCGGCCCCGCGGCCGGCTCTGCGCCTGGCGGGCGCGGGGACCGGGCGGCCGGGCCGGGGCGGGGGCGCAGACCTCCCGCGCGAGCCCGGCGCGGGGGAAGAAGCCGCGAGGCTGGAGGGGGAGCCTGGGGGAGCGCCCCCGCCCTCGCCCCGACCCCCGCGGGGCGCGGGGGGGGCGGGGCGGGCGCCCAGGCGTGGCGGCCGCGGGGGCGGCGTTGCCGGCGCTCTGGCCGCGGCGCGGAAGGAACCGTGACCGCTGGCGCGTTACTTTCCATTACGGAGCCTGACACGGCCCCGCGATATACGGGCCGGCCCGGCCCCTCGCCGCCCGGGAGCCGCGCCCGCCGGCCCGAGCGCTCCATCCGCCCCGCGCGCCGCCCGTCCCGCGCCCCCGCGGCGCCTCCCCTGGCCCCGGGCGCGGGTCCCGCGCGGTGGGGCTGGACACGCGCCGCCCGCCGCCGAGGCAGGGGCCGCCCTCAGATGGTGCTGGAAAGGCCACCAGCTAAGATGGGAAGTGCTGGTCTGGGGAGCGCGGGGCGCCCTGCACGGCCCGCGCTCCGCTCCCCGCCCCGCCCGCCCCGCGCCCGCCCCGGTGCCCGCAGGGGAAGGGGCACTGCGCCCGGCCTGCCCGCTGCACGGGGCGCGCGGTGTCTGCCCAGGCCCGGCAGCGGGCACCGCCGGCTCAGGCCAGGGAGCCTCGCGGGGCCAGAGCACAGGAGGCCCGGCCGCCCTCCCCCGCCGGGAGGAAGCCTCCCCCCTCCGCGCCCCCGCGGCCTCGCCAGGGCTCTCAGAGCTGTCGCCTCCGGGGGGTCCGGGGGGCCCTGGGGACCGCTTGTTCCGGGGCGTCCCGGCACTGGGCAGCCCAGGGGTACAGAGGGGCCCTTTCTGCTAGAGCCCAGTCTCAGGCCGTGATGGAGCCAAACAATGGGGCCTAGAGGGCGAGGGGAGAGACCGGGCGGGGACCCCAAGGACCAGCAGCACCTCCCACACCAGGCCTGCACCCTGGGGTCAGGCCCTGCAGCAAGGCAGGCAGGATGGGAAAAGCCTGGGGTTGCACCAAGTGTTTTGGTGCCAGGGCCCCAGGCAGCCATGAAGTTAAGGAAATCAGCCACCTGCCAGCCGCCAGCGGGAAGGCTGCAGCCAGAGCAGATGCCCAGAGGGACACTGTGTCCACGGGACCTTGTTGCCCTGCTCAGTGACCTGACTGGACGCGGCGGGAGGACTCTGCACCGGGAAGACTGTGCCTGGAGCACCGGTCGGTCATGGTTTGGGGAGACGGGGGTGGGGGTAAAGGGTATTGCCAGGCTGTCAAGAGGCCCAGCCCCGGCCCCCCAGCACCCCAGACTCGCCAGCTGAGGGCTGGCGTGTGAGCGAGGGCCTGGCAGGCACCGCGGCGTGAAGGGCCCCTCCCCAGCCGGGGTCTGGGTGGTGACGCGTGGGTGGCGGGGAGGCCAGCACCCTGCTGGCTCTCAGCAGGAGCTGCTGCCCCAGGACTCTGCTGCTGGGACTGATGGGGAAGCTCCCCAGGAGGCAGCCTCCCGTGGCCCGCCCGCCGCCCACTGCAGCACATGCACCTGCACATGCACACGCATTCGCGCACGCTCACACCTGCACACGCTCACCCACACCTGGGCTGCACACGCTCACACCTGAACTTCCCCACAGACCTGCATCTTGAGGGCTTGAGGAGTGACAGGGCCACTGGTGGAGTTGGGGTGCGGCCATTTCCCCCCTCATGGCAGCAGCTGGATCTGGCCTGTGAGCAGGTGGTGCAGGGGCAGGAGAGGCAGGGCAGGGGGCAGACCAGGCATCCCCTAGAGCTGTGGCCGCGGCTCCGCTGTCCCACACCCTGGCCCCGGGACTCCACCCGCACCCTGTGGCCCAAGACTCCCCAGTCCCACCCTCCAGACTCCCACCTGGGATCAAGAGAACATGGCGGCCGCCAAGAGGCCGGCTGCTGGACCTCGCTGGGCTGGGCCTGCCCTCTGCAGCGGCCAGTGCTCCCAGCTGGGCAGGGCTGGTCCTCTGCGCCACCGGCTGCGCCGAGCCCGACCCGGAGGCTCGCCACAGAACATCTGCCAAGCTCAGGGCGGGGCCTGGATGCCAGTGTACCTGGGCAAGGGCCAGGGAACCTCCAGGCCGTGGGAACAGACCTTGGTGGCCAGCACCAGCACCCCAGGTGTCAGAATGCACGGCAGGCCTGCGGGCGCCCCGGGGTGCTCCCGCCTGCCCAGGGGGTTAAGGGGAGGCCCCCGGGCCTCAGTCACCTGTGGCCGGAAGGGCATCTGGGGCTCCGACCCAGAAGTTCTCGGTTTAGGGGCCACCTGCCCCCCACATTTGCCGGTTGACAGAAAGGCCCCTCCCAGGCGCCGTGGGGCCCGAGGCCGGGTCTGCCGCGCGGATGTGGGGCCTGCGAGAGGGCGCGGCCGCCGCAGACGAGGACGGCCGGAGCGCCAGGGCCAGGTCGGGGGGAGACGGGCGGCTCTCCCCGGCCGGCCCGCGGCAGCGCCCTCGCCGCCTGCCCGCCGCCAGCGCCCTGCAGGGCAGCGCGGGCGAGGCGACCAGCCAAGCTCGCCAGGGGCCCGGGACTCCGGCCCGCGCCAGCCCGCAGCCCCCGGGGCCGGCGGGGCCGGCCCTGCTCCTCCGAGACGCCCAGCGGGCTGCGGGGACAGAGCGCAGCGGTGCCCGCAGCCCCTCCCCAGGGGCGGGGGTCTGAGCCCTCTGGAGGCCCCAGGCCCGGAGGGACCCTGCGGCGGAGAGGCTGTTCCCCAGGGGTCCCGCAGCCCCGCCCCCAGCCCGAAGTCACGCCCCCAGCCCGAAGCCCCGCCCCAACCACGCCCCAGCCCCGCCCCAACCTGAAGTCACGCCCCAGCCACGCCCCAGCCACGCCCCAGCCCGAAGTCACGCCCCAGCCACGCCCCCAGCCACGCCCCAGCCCGAAGTCACGCCCCCAACGACGCCCCCAGCCCGAAGCCCCGCCCCAACCTGCAGCCCGCCCCAACCACGCCCCCAGCCCCGCCCCAACCTGAAGTCACGCCCCAGCCACGCCCCCAGCCACGCCCC